TAATTAGAGTAATTTAATTAAGCTCAATTAGAATGGCTCTTCAATAAAATTTATAATAAGTATGGTCATTATCATTTTTTGATTGAAAAAATTATAAGATTATCACCAAATTCTTTTATTAATAAAATAATTTTGGATTCTCCTAATTTAGCTTTGATTATAGCTCAACATGGGAAATTTGAGGCCTTGTAAAATTTAGTTGAAGAATAAGATTTTGGATAAAACTATAATAGACTAATATCTTCTCATTTCATCAGAATTATCTTAATGATAAAATATGGATAGAACTATGATCCATTAATTGAACCTAATTAAATAGATAATATCCATTTGAAACATTATGTAAATGCTTTAGATTTAATTGAATCTGATTAATAAGGAGGTTCTATTAGTATTTAATTTATGAATTAATTAATTCCCATATTACATGTTGAAAATTCATCAATCTAGTATATTGATAAATTTTATAGTTAATTAAAATCTGAGAGTAACCAAATTAAAAAGGCTTTTAAAATTATAATAAAGTTAAAAGAGTTTAATTATGAACTTTAAAAATTAGAATTGAAAGCAATTGCTAAATGTGATTCTTTAGTTAAGAATTTCAAATTTTAATTTGGAGATAAATTTAATCTACTTTAGAGTGGAGAATCCTCTACTATTGTAATACCTTTTGATTATTAAGAAAATTAACTTGATGAATTTTTAAATGATTTACCCTGTTTTTATAAATAATTATATGAGAATGCAATTTTAAGTAAGGTTTAAAAAAAGAAAGGAATATTTAAGAAAAAAAATAAATTAGTAATAAAATTTGAAGATAAAAATTTATCTGCATTTTATAATGATTTAAGATATTTAATAACTCTATTATAGGAATAATAAAAACCTGTAGATAGTTTAGAATATAAGAATGAATATAAAATAAAAGGTTGGTAGCAACTATAAAAAAAGAATGATGATGATAATTGTTTTGTTTATACATCAGATGTTGCATTCACAAAAGAATGGACATAAACCATTTTTTATTAAGAACCTTAAAAATCAGAGTTTTTAGAAAAATATCCAAATCAAATATTAGTTTTCTTCAATTAATAAATATTATTAAATTAAGTAGAAATATAAGATTAATTAAATCATACATTAAAATAAATAATACACCTATCAACTATGGGGCTTGATTTTAAAGGTAAAATAGAATTAGAATCATTTTTGAAAGTGTTTTTTATGAACAAGAACCTCTATTCTATTTATAATAATTGGTACAATCTAATAAATGCTTTATCCACATATCCAACATTAATTTATACTATAAAACATATTTTATCTTATATTTGTTAAATCATAGGTCTTTTTAATGGAAATAGTAAAGATAATGAAATAATAATTAAATTTGAATCAACTGATATTTAAGGGATATCACCTAAGAATCATTATTTGGATGACTATTTCTCATTTTGCAAACCATCTATTTGTTTAGAGAGTGATAAAATAATAATTACGATTCTTGTAAGTGAAAATGGTAAGAAAGAAGAGGGTGAAATATATTTAGAATAAATTTTTAATGTGAACGATTTAGATGATTTAATTAAAGATTAATTTTCATTAAAAGATAATTTGGATGCTTTAATTTTTAGATATTAATTAGAGGAAATAGCAAAGGAAACATGTGAATAATTTAGAAAACTGAACAATTTTGATATATTAATAAAATTGGATAAAAATGAATTAAGATAATAAATAAAAGATCTTAATTATATATAATAATAGGATTATTTAGATAAGTTGAAAACATATTTTAAATTGACTATGAATTTAGATTTATAAAATATTATATAAGGTAATAGATTCTCATAATTTTATAAAGAGAGTTTATGTTCTGGTAAATATTTTTAGAAGCCATTAGATATTGGAAATTTTTCATAATATAATGTTAATTCATTAAAGAATTGTTTTGGTATGATATTAAATAAAGAATAATTTTTAAAAAATACACAAAAGAAAAGAATTTATCATATATTTTATACAAAGAAAAATAGAAATCATGCTGTATTTTGTTAATTTGTGAAATCAAAGAAAAATAGAAACTATTTTATTTAATTTGATTAATATAAACTTAAAAAGAAATATGATAGAAAAGCTAATTTATAAATTAAAAGTGAATATATAAAAGGAGCTATTTATTATACATATGAATATGACAATTAAATATAATCATAGAATGAAAAATTAATATTAATTGATAATGAAGGTCATTATTATTTGAATTAAGATGTAAATTTTACACGTTAAATTCAAGAACATACAACATTATCAGACAATATTAAGGTTACAAGATTATGTTTTGCACTTACATTTGAGAAGTCTAATATTAGCAAAAATGTTCTTTATTTTAATTAAAATGATTTCAGATTAAAAGATTATTTAGAAACATCAAGTATTTTATCTGACAAATCATATGAATTATAAAAATTAAAAGTGGATAAAAATTAAATAAAAATTGATCCCCAATTAGCAGAGTATAATAATGGTGATGAAGAAGAATTATAAAGTAATAAAAAAGAATTAGGTAATAGAAAATCAAATAAAATGCTTTTAACAATTCTATCATATTTTTCTGATTAAGATACAACTGAAATATAATATGATATTCCAAATTAGAATACAAAACTAAATGATGAAAATTTGGATACTTTAACAAATTATTGTAAATAGTATCAAAAATAATCTAATTAAACTCGTGCTGGAGAATAAAGAAAAGATAAAATTCTATTTTATGACATTTTAAATAATCTCATCAAAGATTAAAAAGTTATAAAAGATATTAAATGCTATATTTAACATGAAAAGTTTAATGAGATAGTTCATCATCCTCAGATATCTTTCGATAAAGGAATAATCTTAACTTGGACTCCTTATATTAAAGGAGCATATTTTATATTTATTAATGGTCAAAAAATGAATTTCAGGTTTTATGTTATAGCCTCAGAGTAAATTTAATATGAAAAATACAAATTGAAATAAGATATATCAGAATTTTAATATTTTGTTGAATAAGATTTACAATTTGAATTATTTGATATCTATAACAATTTAATCACAAAGGCTGATGATATACCATCAGGTTTATCAATTAAAGTAATGAATAATGATGTTACACTTAAACAAAGATCTAATTATAATGACAATTGTTGTTAATTATTCATATAATTTTGCAATTTCTCTAAACCTGATGATAAAGTTGATGAATATAAATTGGAAATAAATTTAAACAATGAAACTATTATATAAGGTAAAGTAGTTTAGATAAAACCATAACCATTGAGTTAAAAGAGAATAGATACTTTTGCATCTAAATTCTAATTTAGAAGTTCTATTTAATATTTAATAATAAGAGCAAAATTCCTGAATTCATTAGCTTAGATGGATAAACATAAGGGATAAAAAGTGTTAAAAATTAATTTCCTTTAAGAAGTAGCTAATGATTAAGGAGGACCTACTAGAGAATTCTTTTGTTTATTAGGAAAAAATCTTAAGAATCCTGATAATAAATTATTTAAACCTACTCATTTGAATGGTTATTACTACTTAAATACAGGTACATTATTATTGAATGATTCCATAACATTTGCTATTGGTATGTTACTTGCTTATGCTATTGCAAATAAATTAAAAATTGGTATATCATTTGCTTTACCTTTTTGGAAGATAATGTGTGAATTACCAATAGAGTTTTCTGATTTAAGTTATGTAGTGGAACCATAAGTCTATTAGAGTTATAATTATTTAAGAAATTTAAGTGATGATGAGTTAAATTAATAAGATATATACTTTGTAAATTTACCAGATGATGTATAATTATGTGAAGATGGTAAATCTAGAAAAGTTGATAGAAATAATTTAGAAGAATATTTACTATTATCTGCAAAGTATTAATTATATGAATAATATTTGAATGTTTTTAAACAAATGAAAAATGGTTTCTAAGCATAATTTGATGCAAAATTATTGGTTTAAAGTTTTTCTCTTTATGAAATTAATTAATTAATTGATATTATTGATTACTAAATTAATAAAGAAAAGTTATTGAAATGTATTCATTTTTAAAGGAGAAATTAAATAAATGAAAATTATTTTACTTAATATATAAGTGAAGCAGATTAATAAAAATTAGAGAATTTCTTGACATTTATTACAGGTATTAAAATATATTTATAATAATAGGTAGTAAGTATTCTAATTTAGAGAATTTTAAAATAGAAGTATAAACAAATGTTGAATTATAAAAAAATAAACTTCCAGTATCTAGAACATGTAGTAATGTTTTAATAATTCCATAATATCCAACTTATGATGAATTTAAAGCTAAAATGGATATAGCATTAGATTGGGGATTAGATTTCTTTGGTTAAGGTTGAATTTTACATAATTTTAATAACATTATAAATAATAATATTTTATATTTCATCATGAATTAAGAAAATTAGACCAAAATGTAAAAGTATTATAAAGCGATAATCATCTCTTGATAATGAATATTAAATTGAATAAGGATTAACATGTAAAATTTGGGGAAATGCATATAGATATGATTCTTAAAGAAGATTAATACCAGATTTAAGAAGATAAGTAAAATAGTAGTATAAATACTCTTAAATTTAAAAATATAAAAGCCAAAGCAATACAAAAATTTGAGTGAAGCTGAACTTATTAAATTAGCATTAAAGTATTATATAATTGATTTTTTAATTATATTAAATAATAATAAATTAAATTTTAATTTAATATTATTTGATTTAATTAATAAATTAGAAAACCTGAAGTTTTGGAAGAAGATAAATAATGACTAATATTTAAATTAATAAGAAGTAATTAGTTTTGGATGATCTCTAAATTTCATTCAATATATATATTTATAATATTAAAAGTATTTTCTTCATAAATGAAGTTATTTTATTCAACATCTTTCTATCATCTCAATATTACTNCCTTTTTGGAAGATAATGTGTGAATTACCAATAGAGTTTTCTGATTTAAGTTATGTAGTGGAACCATAAGTCTATTAGAGTTATAATTATTTAAGAAATTTAAGTGATGATGAGTTAAATTAATAAGATATATACTTTGTAAATTTACCAGATGATGTATAATTATGTGAAGATGGTAAATCTAGAAAAGTTGATAGAAATAATTTAGAAGAATATTTACTATTATCTGCAAAGTATTAATTATATGAATAATATTTGAATGTTTTTAAACAAATGAAAAATGGTTTCTAAGCATAATTTGATGCAAAATTATTGGTTTAAAGTTTTTCTCTTTATGAAATTAATTAATTAATTGATATTATTGATTACTAAATTAATAAAGAAAAGTTATTGAAATGTATTCATTTTTAAAGGAGAAATTAAATAAATGAAAATTATTTTACTTAATATATAAGTGAAGCAGATTAATAAAAATTAGAGAATTTCTTGACATTTATTACAGGTATTAAAATATATTTATAATAATAGGTAGTAAGTATTCTAATTTAGAGAATTTTAAAATAGAAGTATAAACAAATGTTGAATTATAAAAAAATAAACTTCCAGTATCTAGAACATGTAGTAATGTTTTAATAATTCCATAATATCCAACTTATGATGAATTTAAAGCTAAAATGGATATAGCATTAGATTGGGGATTAGATTTCTTTGGTTAAGGTTGAATTTTACATAATTTTAATAACATTATAAATAATAATATTTTATATTTCATCATGAATTAAGAAAATTAGACCAAAATGTAAAAGTATTATAAAGCGATAATCATCTCTTGATAATGAATATTAAATTGAATAAGGATTAACATGTAAAATTTGGGGAAATGCATATAGATATGATTCTTAAAGAAGATTAATACCAGATTTAAGAAGATAAGTAAAATAGTAGTATAAATACTCTTAAATTTAAAAATATAAAAGCCAAAGCAATACAAAAATTTGAGTGAAGCTGAACTTATTAAATTAGCATTAAAGTATTATATAATTGATTTTTTAATTATATTAAATAATAATAAATTAAATTTTAATTTAATATTATTTGATTTAATTAATAAATTAGAAAACCTGAAGTTTTGGAAGAAGATAAATAATGACTAATATTTAAATTAATAAGAAGTAATTAGTTTTGGATGATCTCTAAATTTCATTCAATATATATATTTATAATATTAAAAGTATTTTCTTCATAAATGAAGTTATTTTATTCAACATCTTTCTATCATCTCAATATTACTTAATCGTTTTAAATTCGAATCTTGTTTTTTGGGATTCAATTTTAATTATTTATGTTATAATTAATCCCATGAAATATTAAACCATTTATGAGCTTTTAATTCATCAAAAGATGATCCAACTCTTTGGTATACATTCAATGACATCAATTAATTCATTAAATTCTTACCTACTTAATCCCTATAAAACTGAGGATATTTTAGTTAATAATTTAAGATATCTTCATATATCTTATAGGGATCCTAAATATATTATAATTTATAATACATCTTTATCTTCACCAAAAGGTACTCCACCACAAAGAAATTCATATAAACATACTCCTACACTCCAAACATCACTAAATGTAGAATAACCTTTGCCTTCAATAATTTCTGGTGCCATATAATGAGGATTACCTATAATTGTATGAGTTCTATATGCTTATTTAGATGTTTTGAAATCTATTAAATATATATATCCATTTTTATCAATAATAAAATTATTAGGTTTGAATTCTCTAGAAATGATTGAAAGATTAGAAAATGTTTCCAATAATAGAATCATTTATGAAATTAAAAACTATGCTTTTTCTTTATCTAACAAACCATTATCATGTAAATAATCTCCTAAATTTTTACCTTTAATATAATCCTATAAAAAGTAAATATTTTATTCATCAGAATAATATTGATGAAAATTAGCTACAAAAGGATTATTAATAATTTCTAGAATCTTTCTTTCTTATTTAATCTATTTTTCTAAATTCCATTAAGATATAAGATCTCTTGATATTTTACGTAATACATATTTCTCATTCTTATATTCTACTTTATATAATGTGCCATATGAACTATTACCAATTAATTTTTAATTATTCAATTCATTAAATTGAGGTCTAACTCTTTTAAATTCATATGTACTATCTTCTATAACATAATCCTCTAATTCTAATTTTATTTTATCTAATTTAGCCAAAGTTCCAGTACAATAAAATTGTTAATCATCATAAACATCTGAAACCAAATCTCCTTTATGATATACTTTATCTTCTGATTTCATAGTGCCTTCAACAACTATTACTAAATAATCATGTAATTCATTTATATCAAATATCTCATTATTATAATTATGAAAACGAAATAATGGTATTAATTTCTCAATCTCCAAAGTTGGTGTTTTTAATTATTTCAATCTTTCCTAATTTAATTTAAACTAACTTACATTTATCTAATTACAGCAAATTATAATTATTTCTTAACATCATTTCCCAAAATCTATTTAACCTTTTCTCTTGTCAATACCAAACATTATACTTCACTTATTGCTTAAACTGTTGCATTTCTTTTTGTTGTCATCTAAAGTGAATTCTCTCCAAAACAATCTCTTGGTTAAAGATAACGAATAAATTTAGTTCCTTTGTAAACAGCAGCCTAACCACTTTTTATAACTATAAATGAATCTGCTCTTTCTCCCTCCTATGCTATAATTGCATTTGGTCTATATTTAGTAACAATAATATTTTAAGCCAATCCATCTTATTACATAGGAGTCAAGAATTAATAAAAAGATTGTCCAGTAATGAATTATTTATTTTACAGATATTATTTAGCCATTATATAATCCAAAGAATTTAAAAATGTATTTTTATCCAAACCCCAAAAGAAACAATCATCTATTGCTTTCACATTCTTCTACTTCTCTAAATGCAATAATAAAGACAATTCACCAATGGTAGAACCCTTTTATAAAGAACATCCTTCATATTATAAATTCCCTCTTTCTAATATTAAAAAACATGATGCAACACATTCTTTTGGATAAAGGATAGTATTACTATGTAAACAACAGTAAAACATCTTATTTATAATACCCATAATAACTTCATCTGAAAGTGAATAGAATATAAAATGATTCATTAATGTTTTCGTTAAAAAGTTAATGCAAATTGCTCTTAATATTCATAATAAATACCTGATTTCTTTTATCTCAAGACTTAGACATTTTCTGTAATTTATCTGTTACTAGTGTCTGTTTTCATTAAGTATATTGAATCATTATCAGTGATTGTAGTATTAGCTTGATTTAGCAAGAAAGTAGTCTTATCATCTTATACATCTATGGAAGATCCACAACCCATCTATTCGTTAGATTAAATTTAATTAATAAACACTAAAAGATCAGAATAAATTTATTCAAGTACATAAACATCAAAAATTACACCTCATATCAACATAGAAATTCAATATCCATTATTCTGCTTCTACTTTATCCACACTTAACTGTAGTATAATAATTAAAAAATGACATTAATGGTTTTTTTATTTTTTAACAAACATACAATACATTCTATAAACAAAATATGAGTATATATTATTTATTAACACTATCCCAATGAATATAAGTTAGATTTAAGACTAATTATTTAATTATACAAAAATATGTAAAAACTATTAATCCAAATCTTGAATACTTATATTCATCCTATAATTTGAGAATATTTTTGAACTATAAATGTTTGTAAATAAATAAAAATATTGCTATTAAAGTTTTTTTGTACTTCTATTTATTTATAGAAACTATTAATTTTTATATATTAATATTTATTATAATAAAAATGAGTTAAATGGAACCTTATCGTCAAGAATTTCTAGAAGAATTAGATAAAATTAGACAGCAATATAGTTTTGGTTAATCCCAATAGATGTCTTAGAGCCAATAAAAGAAGGTGAATTTGTAATTCAAAGTTACTGATACCAATGACATTTGGAATAATAGTAAATATTCTGATGTAATATATGACTAATGATTTTAGAATAAATGGAGAGGTAACCTAACTACTACATTCTACAATAAGGAACACAATGCTAGTCATTATGAAGTTAACTCACTTTTGAATCCGGAAGTTACGAGAAAGAATTTCAATATGAGAGCCACTTAAATATCAGAATATTCAAACGCAAAACATAATAATACAGTCTTTGTGAATCCCAAGTATACAAGTTGCTGATTTTAATATATATATCACATTATGAATCAAGACTCAATCTATATACACAATTTCAACTGGTTTAACTAGACAAAATAAATTGTTAAATAGAGAAAAGACATAGTTTATATCTAACTTTATAAAAATTGAAATGATTAATCTCTTACAAATTTCAATTAGATTACTTTATAATCAAATTATTACCTATAACAAACATAATTTCATTTACTCCAACTGAATTCAAGTCTTTCTGTATGTTTAATTAAAATTATAAATTAATAGATATTCAATATGAACAATATTATATAACTAATTAGAGTTATCTACTGGAGAATTGTTAATATATTATGAAATCGATGATTTTTATATGAATAAAGAGATGTATTAATTGGAGAATTTAGTGACATTTTTAATTGTTGTAATTGTTAATTGTAGAATTTTGAGTGCAGAACAATTTTGAGATAATATTAGTTATGAAAATAATACTCAATATTATTCATATATAAAATGAATTAATTGTATAAACTTACACCTCAAGAATTAGCAACTAGAAAGGATATTGTTGTGTTGAGTGATAAAGGATTACGTTTCAGGGAAGAGATAAAATCATAAGATCAATTTGATTTAGATGATTTCCATTTACCTCAAAGTAATTCTGTCTATTTACAATCTAGTCAATTCATAAAAAGATAAACCATATACAAGAAGATCAGTACTTTAAGGAGAAAAACCAGTTGAATTACTAGTTGCTGATTTAAAGAAAGAATTAAATATCAGTAGACCATATATGGAGAAGGCTTTAGAGAAAATGACAGCTAAAATAACTTAAGAAAAACCATCTGCAGTTATAAACAACAAATTGCAAAAACTATATTAAGAACTAGATAGACATATGCGATTGTTAGAAAAGAAAAAAGTGAAGTTTCAAAAGAAACCAATTGAATAATAGATATAAGATCAAACTTCAATCTTAGAAGAATCAGAATTTCAAGATAAAGTGGCTTCTCTTAATGCATTAGAAGCAAGATTATGGAGAATGCAATAAAATTATTAAAATGAAATTAAAATCCGAGAGGATACTTTAAAAGTAGATATAACTATCTTACTAGTAGAAAGTTAAACAAAACCTAAATGAAATTAGGATTTAAAAGGAAGCTGAAATTGAATAGGTTCCAGTCCCTGTTTAAATGGAGCAACTTTAATAATCTTAATATCTAGATAGGAAATCAATTAGACTTAAAGATTATTAAAAATATAAATTTGAAGTAACCAATGTTGGTATTCGTAGAAAATCTGGAATAGACAACCTCCTCCATCCTATACTTCTAAGTAAATCTTAATAGAAGAAGAAAGAAAGAAATAACTCTAATTAATAAAAGAATAATAAGAATATGAGTAAGAATTATTAAGAAGAAATGGTCATTCAAATATCAATAATGTAGCTAATCATACTAATTATGAATAAAATGAGTAATGATTTAAATATTTATTTATCAATATATATTTATAATTCATTTCAAATTTCAATATTATAAAGATAGTACATCAATTACTTATTTCATCTATTTGTTAAACCTCTATCTAATACAAGTTAGCATTTCAATTTTAGGTGATAACTATTAGATAATGTGATGTTATTTACACAGAAAATTTATTAATTAATATATTATTTTAAAAGGATTGTTAAGAGAAAGATATCTTTTATGTATAATTTTATTAATTTTGGTTCTTTTGAGCTCTACAGTTCTATATGATAAATATCTAAGAAAATAAAATATTATAATTGATTTAAAAAGTAGTCATATTTCACTTTAAGGTAAATGAATAAATAAAAATTAGATTAATTAATTGAATTATATCTTCAAAATGATATGAAAAAGGACATCTACTATTATTATTATTATTAAATGAAATATATAATTTAGATTATTTCTCCTTATAATTTATCAAATAAGAATAATTCATTCTATTAACAGTATTTAAAATAATTGATAAAATTTAAAATAATACTCATTTTCTAGGTGGAGGTCTTTTTTATTATTGAGTTGGTTTGGCAGAATTTGATTTTTGTTATGGTTTATTTTATGGCTTGGATTAAGGTTTAGATTTAGATTTATGTTTATTTCTTGGTTTGTCTAGAATAATAAATAATAAATAATTACCAGAATCTGATTCATCATCATCATCATCATCATCTTAATCACTTATATTATTGAGATCTAAAACATCGGATAAATCTTCATCCTCATCTTCTTCATCATCATCATCACCATCATCATCATCNATGGAGAATGCAATAAAATTATTAAAATGAAATTAAAATCCGAGAGGATACTTTAAAAGTAGATATAACTATCTTACTAGTAGAAAGTTAAACAAAACCTAAATGAAATTAGGATTTAAAAGGAAGCTGAAATTGAATAGGTTCCAGTCCCTGTTTAAATGGAGCAACTTTAATAATCTTAATATCTAGATAGGAAATCAATTAGACTTAAAGATTATTAAAAATATAAATTTGAAGTAACCAATGTTGGTATTCGTAGAAAATCTGGAATAGACAACCTCCTCCATCCTATACTTCTAAGTAAATCTTAATAGAAGAAGAAAGAAAGAAATAACTCTAATTAATAAAAGAATAATAAGAATATGAGTAAGAATTATTAAGAAGAAATGGTCATTCAAATATCAATAATGTAGCTAATCATACTAATTATGAATAAAATGAGTAATGATTTAAATATTTATTTATCAATATATATTTATAATTCATTTCAAATTTCAATATTATAAAGATAGTACATCAATTACTTATTTCATCTATTTGTTAAACCTCTATCTAATACAAGTTAGCATTTCAATTTTAGGTGATAACTATTAGATAATGTGATGTTATTTACACAGAAAATTTATTAATTAATATATTATTTTAAAAGGATTGTTAAGAGAAAGATATCTTTTATGTATAATTTTATTAATTTTGGTTCTTTTGAGCTCTACAGTTCTATATGATAAATATCTAAGAAAATAAAATATTATAATTGATTTAAAAAGTAGTCATATTTCACTTTAAGGTAAATGAATAAATAAAAATTAGATTAATTAATTGAATTATATCTTCAAAATGATATGAAAAAGGACATCTACTATTATTATTATTATTAAATGAAATATATAATTTAGATTATTTCTCCTTATAATTTATCAAATAAGAATAATTCATTCTATTAACAGTATTTAAAATAATTGATAAAATTTAAAATAATACTCATTTTCTAGGTGGAGGTCTTTTTTATTATTGAGTTGGTTTGGCAGAATTTGATTTTTGTTATGGTTTATTTTATGGCTTGGATTAAGGTTTAGATTTAGATTTATGTTTATTTCTTGGTTTGTCTAGAATAATAAATAATAAATAATTACCAGAATCTGATTCATCATCATCATCATCATCATCTTAATCACTTATATTATTGAGATCTAAAACATCGGATAAATCTTCATCCTCATCTTCTTCATCATCATCATCACCATCATCATCATCATTATCATCATCTTCTGTAAAATCAGAATCATCATCTCCATCATCTTCCTATAAAATTATTATTATTATAATGTACTGATTATTCAGGTGAGAATTCACTATCTCCAGCTTCAGGATCATCATCTTCCCCTTCTTCTTCTTCACTCTCAGCCAATATATTTGTCCAACCTCCATCTTATACAAATCCTGGAATATCTTTTTATATTTAGGCAAGTACATTTTTCCAAACTAAATTTTATGCTACTTCAAAAAATAATAAATTCATCTATAATTAATAATTAAATAATACTCTATCTAACCAATTTTTAACACCTTCTAAATCTTTAATATCAATACTCTCAATTCTCAAAACTTATTTATCATAATTCTTAAAAACAAAAACTAAATCAAAAGATTTAATGCCTGGAATTATACGTTCAAAACAACATATTTCAACTTCAGATAATGTCAAAATAAAAAATGGACTTTCAACAACATTCATTAAAGTATTATGAGTTGGTTATAAAAATAATCTTGCTCTATTCCAATTACCTTCAAATCCAAGATCTCTAAAAGGTTTTTCAAATTATATTTTATAATCTACACCCATTTCCTCAATTGTTTTAATAAAGACTTCAAATTCTCTTGCCATTTTCTTTCTTTGTACACGTAATCTCTCTTCTTCTTCTATTTCATCATCATCATTTCTATTATTTTTCCTTCTTCCTTCTAAATGTTCTACTGCTCCTCCAACTTCACAATAGAATTACACATCATGTGTCTTTCTCTTACCTAATACTATAGGAGAATAAAGATGAAAATGTATTGCAGCAATAATATCTTATTCTGGACTTTAATAAATGTAATGCTTAATATTCTTAAATACAATATCCAATTATTCTTTATTTTAATTAATATATTTAAATCCATTTGAATGTACTTCTAAAATACCTGCAGCTTTACCAGAACCAAAAGCAGGTCTCACTTTCAAATCTTTAAAAATTGGTTTTCTTCCAGTTTTGCTTACAACTAAAGGTTCTAATTCACCAACATGTTATTTCTCTCTTTCAACTTATTATTCTGCCTTCACCTTTTTCTATAATTATTTTATCTATAATATTAAATTCTATGGACGATCATTCTTCTTAGATCTATACTATAATTCTTTTATAAAGATAGTTTCTCCATCTATTTATGGGAATTAAATCTATCCTGCTGTTGTCTCAGAAGTAAAGAAATTGATTCTTATAGATGAACCCATCTTTCCTTCATCAATCTTACTTACATTTTTAATGCAAGATACATGAAATGGTATATGAGTACCTAATAATGGTACCAACACAGCACATTTTTAATTATCAATATAAATCTATCCTTTCTACAATTCTTTTGGATATTATTCTATTTTTTAATAACATTATAATTTATCCAACTCCAAAGCTTTTGTTTCTTATTAATTCTAAACAAATTAATCTTGTTCTAATCTTTATTCTAATTCATTTTATTTATCCTTTGCTAATTTCTCTTAATGTTTCTATCTTTATTTCTCATTTTCTCTTTGTATTTAAATCTATTAATTTCGTGGTCCTCTAGTACGTCCTTCCTTTGGAGCATCTGGTTATTTTGTTGTTTATTATTTAGGAGCAGGCTATTCATCTTCTTCTTACAATTAATATGAAATTTATTTATAAACTTTTGGAATTTAATTAGTAGTCACATTGGCTGCACCATTTGTTACAATAATAACATCACCAACAGAAATCATATAGTTTATACCTTTCTATCCATTTTGAAGATTTTCCAATGTTACTTAAATAAAATAAACTTCATTTTTAGCCACAAGATGAGTTGATTTTTCAGAAATTGAAAGAAAAGGTTCTTTTAATTCAAGACCTATGCCATATCCAAAAGAATTAGGAAATTAAACATTTGGAATGTTTATTTCTTATATCTTTTATTATAACATAGCTAATGCATCCTTATACACTTAATTTAATGGAGTACCCACTGTCAATAAACTAATTATTTTGTTTTAAACTTCTATTATTGTATTGTACAATTTCTTTTACACTTCTGTTGGATTAATGAATAATGTTCTTATACAATTTGTATTGTATTCATTCACTTGAGTACCAAGTTAGATTATAATTACATCTGAAGAAAGATATTCTTTATTTGGACCATCAACTTGCTAATAATTACCACCACTCTAAATTATTGGAGTATAAGCAAAATCATATAAACCATCTTATAATCCTATGTCTTTAATCACTTTTTGTTTATCATTATCTAATGATTACTCTACTTTCTTAGCTAAATCTTAATGAGTTATGCGTGTTCCAACATCTATTGAATCCTCTATCTATTTTATTAGTTTCTTAAATAATCGAGTAGTCAATTATGATGATTAATTAATGAAGGCTTACTCTTAATCATCCTTTACTGCAAGTATATCGCTTATGAATTAACTTGCATCCAAAATTTGAGACCATCCTTTATATTCATACCATTCTGTGGCTAAACTACCTGCTTGTTACTCTGTAGTAGGCATTCCCAGCTTGACATTCCCCAATTTCTAACGAATTTTTTCAAAACTATCACGATTATCAGCAACTTTCTTATAGAAATGTACTTCATATCTCCCGCCCAATCGTTGCTTAGTCTCCTCCATCATCTACACTATTCAAAAGTCAAAACAACATATTTACACTTCTTATCACTTGCCAAATAGAAAATTTGTTTCTTTGTAGCAATGAATACAGTCTCAATCATATCGTATCCAAATAACCACACAAATAAAGCCTTAGTTTTTGGTTTTATTGACCCATCCTCTTTTCCTGATAGAATGCATAAGGCTGGCATGTCCTATCTTCTAATTTATCAAAACATACATCATTGAGACGGCTAGTCAATAAATCTAAATGTCTCTGGAATACATCTGCTATTATCTTTTTATCCATTATTAAATTAAATATATATTAATTATTAGGTGCTTTTGATATGACTCCATATAACTATACTTTTATATACATTATTAAATCAATCCTCTCCCTTTAAAATAAGCTCCTTACAACCAAAAACTAAAAACCACAAAAAAAAAAATAATATAAAAAAAAACCCGCGAAAAATTTAAACAATTATTCTATATAATACATAAACTATTGTTTAATTTCATTCCATATATTTATTTCATTCTGCTAGCATTCTCAATCTATATCGGTATCAATCAGATCCCTAGGTGTTATTTAATTTATAATAAATCTAATATTGTTATTATAAAAATAATTAATATGAAAATCAAGATAGTTCATAATAACGAGATTCATCTCTTCAAATAATAAAACCCAAATCTCTAAGGAATCAGAGAACACATTAAAAAAATATATCCCAACATCAATACTAACTTTACACTTGCTTATAATGACTCAGAAAATGACTAAATAAGTTTAAGTTGTTAAGACGATTTATAAGTTCTTGTTGATGAAGGAATATAAACAATCAAGGTCTTTGTGTTAACTTCTAACAAACCTTAATAAATTCCTTAAGGTAAGATGGTTCATAAAAGACATACTTGCGATGGATGCTAGATTTATCCAATCGTTGGATCAAGATTCAAATGTCTTGAATGTTCCGATTATGATTTATGTGAAGAATGTTAAGCCAAAGACATGCACAATCATCATAAATTCTATAAGATAAGTACTCAAGAAGAATTAGAATAATTTAGAAAAGAACATTGGGGTAAATTTGGACATTGGGGACACAGAGGATGTGGATTTAATAGAAATGGACCTCATGGACATGGACCTCATGGGCATGGACCTCATGGACATGGACCATTTGGACATGAAGCATTTAAATAATTTAGAGAATTTTTCTAGGATCCTGCTTTTAAAGAAATTAAACAAACAGTTTGTACTATTGCAAAAGATGTTTTTGGTATAATAAAGACAGAGATTGAGAAACATAAGAACTCTAAATAATAAGAACAAACTTAAGAAGAATGTAATACAAATGTTAACGAAGAAACATAATAAGAAATAAAATAAGAAATAAAATAAGAAATATAATAAGAAATAAAATAAGAAAATACTAAAGAATCAAATGATAATAAGATTCAAAAAGAAATTGAAGAGAAAATTAAAGATTTGATTTAAGTTTTGTAATGTGATGAGAAAATAGCTAGAGAATATATTGAATGCTTTAAAGAATTACCACTAAATGAAATTGTTGATATTATATTAGAAAAATAATGATTATCATGATTAATTATTAAATGATTTATTATAATTCAAATAACAGTGTTTGCTCTAATCAATCTCCTCTCTATTATTAGAGAAATGATTGGTAGAGTATAGATTATGAGTTTTAATAGAATGAAAATATACAAATTTCAAAGGATACTAATCTCTAAATAAAGATAACAGAAGCCAAAACTGTAGATCCCATTAAGATAACACTTTATGAGTATATAATATATGAATAATTATTCACTAGTTAATAGATTCATTAACAAAAGGATGTATAGAAAATAGAAAATAAGAGTTCTTCAAAATTACTGAGATTTATTAATCAATCTAAAGATAATGTAGAAGAAGAGAGTAAACCTGAAGAAATAACTGAAAAAAAAGAGAATAAATTATAGCAAAGAACTAGAAAGAAAGTAAATTATAGTGTATGAAATTAATTCTAATACAAGGTAAGTGATTCATTTTCAAATGATTAAAACATTAAACCATGCCATTGTTCAAAAACAAAGTGTCTTTAGCTTTATTGTTCATGTTTTCATAATAGAAAACTTTGTACTATTAAATGTAAATGTAAAAGTTGTTTTAATGATGGGAACCATTAAGTAGAAATCGTAAAGGCTATATAGAAAGTGAAATTAAAAGAATATAGAGTATCATAATCTGATTTAGATTAATTTAATACAAAATAAGTTTTAGGTTGTAGATGTAAAAAAACTCATTGCCAAAAGGGATATTGTGAATGTTTCATTAGAGGAAAGAAGTGTACATCATAATGCAAATGTTATGAATGCCATAATTAGAGACATAAGAACTATGTAAAATAGAGAATCAAATAAATATGATAAATAGATAATATAATATATATACTAATGATGAAAGATTAAGATGTATTAGAATTTCATGATTATAAATAATCAGTTCTACTTAAGATGATACGAATCTATTAAGAAATATATAGTGATTGTGATGGAGATAGGATTATTGTTGAAGCTTACAATACAAAAATTACTAAACAAGATTTAGACAATTTCATAGTTGATCCCAATTATGAATTAAGTATTGAACTAATTATTCTTTATCTAAATTACATAATTAAATATAATTAGATAACATAGAAGATAGCTCCTTACTTTTTGATTATAACAAGTGAGGATTATAATGTAAATTTTAATTGAAATAATTCAAGCCATCTTTTGGAAATGTCATATTATATGATGGTTAAATGATCAATTAAGTACCTTTATCTAAATTTAAGTATGATGGTAATAAATAAAATGCTCCAATTGTAATTTTAATGAGATGTAAAAATAAATGGAATATGATAATTTTGGAATTATAACCATGGATTATTGATTTTAGATGTGATAAAAATACTAGTTTTAATACTATATCTTCTTTTGCATCTTAATTCATTTTAGATACATTTGGAATTTAGATTAAGAATTTTAATGATTTTATGTTAGATTATGAATAGCCAGGAGACTAAGGTGATTTGATTGTATATGCAATTTACAAAGTATTTGTAATGAATTTGGATCTAATGGGAGATACTATTCTAACTAAGAATGATTATACTACAGCAAAACGTAAATTATTATGGTTGGCATTATCTCATATGAAAGAAAGGAGAAAAGAAGATGATGATGCTGAATTTACAAGAAGATTAATAAAGAAATAGAGAGAAGAAATGTAAAAGTAATTAGAAGAAGAAGAAGAGAGAAAGAAACAAATAAAAAATTAATTATCTGAAAAAAGAATGTAAGTTTATGGATTCTTACATACAGTAGAATAACCTAAAGAAATAAAGAAAGTTGAAGAAACACCTGAATAAATTATGTTAAAAAGATAATTGGCTTAATTTAATGTGACCAAACCAAGAAATAAAGTTGAAGCATTTCTTACAAAAATGAGAGTAAAAGAACCATTCGAATTTTAATATCCTGAACCTCAAAAATATGAGGCTCCTAAAAAGGATCCTAAGGGCAAAGTAAAGAATTTTGTTTATGAAGTTCAATATCCTAAAGTAATTCCTGGGGTTCAATAAATGATAACTCCTGCTTCATATTGTATTGCATAAATCTTTTCAGATAATACTTTATAATTTGAATAACCAAAATTAGAGAAAGTTTATGATTATGAGATTTTGGAATAATTACAAAAATAATAACAAAAATAATAACAGTAAATGTAAGGTGTCTAAAGAAATGTCTCTTATTTTGGATAAATTGGATCAAGAGTATTTGATAATACTGATTATACAAATGGAGTAATAGTTCCTGTTGGAAGAAAGATTGTTAAGGAAGAAGAAAAAATAGAAAGTAAAACAAAGAGATTAAATAAAATGTAAATGGTAGATAGATGTATTGAGTAATTAGAAAATGAATTATTTTTAAATTCTTGAAATAATTATATAATGAACGATTAGAAAGGACCTAAAATAATGAGTTCTCACTCATTCAATAGTATTAAGAATGAAGAGCTTAAGAAGGCTGAAGTCATTGATGAACAATCATTATAAACTACTCAAAAAAGAGGATAACCTAAAATCAATATTAGTCGTTTGCCTCCAGCATTTGCAAATAAAAAGTAATAACTATTAAGTTATTCAGACCACAAAAGAAATAGATAGAGCCTTTAGCATAGAAGAAAGAGCAGAAACATTAAGTACAACAGAATCTACAGAACATAGAAGCAATACAAGAGTACAAGTAGGTGAGCCAAATGTTAAGTCCCTTGAAGGCATTAATTATAAATCAAACTCTAGCGCGAACACAATTAGCAATCCAAGAATCCATTAGCACCTTTTCGTTAGTTCATGAAAGACCAAAAGAAAATACATGAGGAATTAGGCCTTAGCATAAGTACTCTTGTCCAAGGTTAGATGCGTATAGAAGACATGATTACCACTGGCACATTACGATGTTAATATCGATACTAAATTAATAGCCTATGGTGATCAGAGTCCTGTCAAAAAAATGCTACATGCTCCAACCATGAAACTTTATGTTGTAAAAGAAGTAATTCTCTACTTTGATATCTAGGAACCATTACACAACAAGGAAATTCGTAAAAACTTAAAAGACTGGATCTCCTTTTGGTAGAACAAATTAGCCAATTCAAACTTACATGTTCAAGTCTACGCTACCTTTTGGAACACTCCTGAAGGTTACGTATCTATTGTTATGGAATATATGAATGGTGGTTCATTATAAGTGAATATTAAATCTCATTCTTAGAATCTACTTGAAAGTATGGGATTCCTTCCAGAGAAAAGTATCAAGTAGCTTGTACCATCTATTCTCTAAGGATTATAAAAAATACATTAACAAGGAGCTTAATGTCATGGTGCCCTTGGACCATCATAGATACTTTTCTTAAGAGATGGAACTGTTAAATTAGGTCAAGGTTTGCAATACAGAGTTTAAGTCCAAGGAAATCAACTATTTAATTCTTACATACTTGGTAAACCTAAAGATGTTCAAAGGTGTTTTATTCAACCTTATGAGTAGTCTTTATGACCCAACAATTCTAGAAACCCCTTCCTTATGGAGTAAAGCATCAAGTGAGAAAGTACATTTCCCTGCTCAAGAAGATTTCATTCTAGAAAGAGCTAATGATATTTGGAAATTAGGTTGGTTAGTCTTAAATTGTGCTATTGGAACACTTGAATTCCATCCTAAAGCTTAATAAATTTATGAAGGATCTAGAATCATTATTGAAGAAATTGCAAAATATACAGATCACCTTAAAGATACTTGTTGTCTACTCCATAGTGAATCTAAAGTCATTTCATTAGTTGAATAGAATCAAAAGACAATTTCTGAACCTACAAAAATTACAATACTAGAATTACTTCCATCTGATAAATTCAGTCCAGAATTTATTTAATTTTTATGTTCAACACTTAAAATAGATCCAAGACAAAGACAATATACAGAATAATTATTGTAACATCCCTGGCTAGTAAGTGGTAGAGATCCAAAAGGTAGTCTCTCATTTTATTCTAATAGGACCCAATGTATAATTAAAAGAACTGCTTAATATCTCTAATGCTTGGAATGCATTTCTACCAGAAGAATTTTAAGGCTAAGGAGCATAAAAATTGGAAAGACTCTGTGATGCTCTATATCTAGTCTTACAAAATTCAGAAAGACCAACTGTCAATAAGTATCTAAACTATTTTTTTATCATTTAGAATGTAATTACAAGAAAACAGCCCTATTATTAAAGAATTATCCTATGATATGGGTCTTAATGCCAAGGCTGTAAGCGATCGAATTATGTCAATTTTCCAATCCTTAATCTGATCTGGCATTGCACTATTATCTATATATTTCTAATTATTAGTGTTTTTATAATAATAATTTATTATTATTGATTCTAATTAGATTTATAAATAGCCATAATCTTAATATCAATTTTTATTGACATTAATATTAATAATGATTTATTATAGACCCAAGATAATTATTTCTTCCTAATAATACATAATTTTTTGTTTTTCATACAAATATTTATGAATTTTTAACTATCCCTTATTATTCATTTTTATGATAATAAGATATTTTAATTAAGTTAATAGATTGATAGTCTATAGCCATTTTCATTAAATAAAAGTATAACAAAATTGTTTATCTTAAGGGGCTTTATCTAAGATGAGTTGAAAAATAGTATGACGAATATTTAACAGGACCAAATAAAGAATCTATGGTTTTGCCTTTTTAAGTACTTTTTCATTTTTTATTCACACTTTTTTCCTGTTGTTTTTAATTACATCAATTATTTTAGAAAAAGATTTATTAGAACTCATACTTTAAACATAAAAAGGAGTATTATTTATTTTCATAGAAAACTTGACGCTCAATCACTTTCATGATTTTCTCTGTTCACCATTATCTAGATGAAAATACGATTGAAAAATTTATTATATATTAAATATTGATATCAAACTCTACACATATAATCAAATAAGTCTTTTTATTTTAGTATTAATTTAATGATCTTAACAGTTAGATTAATTTCATAGATTACCAATTATTCCTGATACCTATCTTATTGTTTATGTAATTATTTTTGTTTTATCTTTCATTTATTTAATTAAGAACTCTTTAGAAAAATAGAAATTTGATTAGAGATCTTTTTATGTAACCTTACTAGATAACAAATTTTAATAGTCTTTTATAATTTATAATAATATGTGAACTTTCAACCATTTAAATTATGCTCAAAGATTTTATTAAATTCTATAAATTTTCATATTTATAATCAATAAATCTAAACTATGAGTATCACTCAGAATATATTAGAATTATACAATATTCAACACGATTAAAAATCAGTCCGAAAATATATTTAATTCTATATATCATAAATATAAATGACTTCTAAACTCTAATTTTATTTAGATCATAACAAATCGTTTGAAAATCTTTAAATGGCAACCTTATATGAGTATCCTTTTAGAAGAAAATCATGTTATTGCAAATAATGCGGAAATCTAGGTCATTTTCAATTACAATATTCGAATTTACCGACACTAAAAGAAATATAATTTAGTAAATAGCAGAGAATTAAAAGAAAGTAAAGTTTCGGTGATGAGATTAAGACTGAAATTCCTAGCGAATTTAGTTAAAATGAAAGTGATAATGGAAGACGAATTAGGTAAAGTTTTAGGTCAATTTCAATAATGAATTTATAGATATAAGGATCTAAGAAAATTGAATAAATATATCCAGAACAGAGCAATAAAACAGAAAGAAAAAGTTGTGAATGTAGTGAATGTGGAAAGCTTAATACATTCTAAATAAAACATAAAGAATTAAAGATTCTTAAAAAAGAGAGAAAGATAAAAGAATTTTAAATCAAAAGGTAAAGATAATTTTAAAAATATGGATCAACAGAGTTTTAAACAAATAAGAAACTCATTTAAAAATCTATAATTTCTTCTCCACATAGTCAAAGATCATTTTAAGTGAAATAAATTAATGAAATGAGAAGAACCAAAGATATTAATAAATTAGTAAATAATAGAATATCAACAAGAGACTTAGAATAGCCTAAATAAATTTAAAACAAATTTTCAATAATAAATTCATGTCAATAATTAGATTCTCCATAAATTCTACATCCTTAATTTCGTAGACAAAATACTCATAAACCAGCCTTGTTGTTATCAAATATAAAATGGAAGATTTAATGATATAAGTTTCTTATACTTTGTTTTTTAACATTATTAAATTATTCTTAATACTATTCATAATTAAATTCAGAAATATTATTATAAAAAACAGATTGATAAAATATATTAATAAAATTATTGTTATAATAATCATTAATTTTATAGTGTACCTTTAACTTAAGTTATTCTTTCAAATTGCTTATGATTTTCTACTTTAATTTTATTATAATTTTCATCTCTAAGTGATTTAGTTGACAAACGTATTGGAGCATCACTTAATTTATATAATTGATTTTACATAAACTTTATTTGCTTTCTATTTTCTATTTGTTAAAGTTTCTTTGAGAGTATCAAATTAGAAGCTGTAATTCTTGAAAGTACTTCTTTTTATTTGAAATTCTAACTATTTTAAACTTTTTTATTTGCTTCCTTTTCTTGATTAGTAAGTTATATTTTTACATCTTTATAAAATTTCTTCAACTTGATCAGGAAATTTGTTATTTCTATGCTCAATTGATTCAACTGACTTTTTATGTTTGGCATATTATTATTCCCACTATCTGGTTTAGAATTAATTATTATTCATTTATTAATAATAATTCTTATGGTAATCGAATAGAAATGAGATAGATTTCCTAATTTTATAGTATTAACAATTAATAATATAAATTAATGAATTCCAACAATAATTATAACAATGACAGTTCAAGTGAAGATGATCTTTAAGTGTATGAGACACTCACAAAAGTAGCACCCCCTAATGAACTATTACCTCGTAAATTGACAATTGATATAGATGTTAAATCATTATATCCTCTTAAGTAATTTTATTATTGATCTTATAAGACCACTTCCTCAATTTTGTAAAACTTACACAACATTTTTTGAGGAATCTTTATAACGTGAATGCTCAATTCCTGACATTTAAGTGACAGATGAGAATAGGACACTCTTAGATTATTATGAAGAGAATAAACAGAATTTAGTTTACAAACGATTCGATCAGTTGGATTTAGGCAAAAGGACTTCAAATGACCGAACATATTTTGCAAGTCTCTTAGCCAATTTTAAGAGGTATGGACGATTCTAAATGAAGAACATAACCAAGAGTTTTCTTTAGAGGAGAAGCACTTTTTGATTAAAAATTAACACCTTGTCCTTCTGATTAAATATAATTTGATTCCAATTTTGAATCAGGCAATCTATTTTGTGCATTCAAAAAAGCAGAAAATGTATATGATCTTATAATTCAAAATGATATTAATACAAGAGGAAATACATAATGGTTTTTTTTTAGTATAACTGGAGCAAAAGCAGGTTAAACAATTTAGTTCAATATACTTAATCATGTATTTTGATCAGTAAATAATTTTAGCTCAAAACAGGAAGTCTCTTTAATGAAGGCTTATAACCAGCTGTTTATTCAGTAAAAGAAAATCAATTAGTAGGCACTGAATGGTGTAGAGATGGATTTAACATAAGTTATTTCAAAAGTGTATTTATGAAAGAATATCCACTCTCTTTGAAGAAAAAATACTATCAATTAAGATTTCATTACACATTTAAGCATGAAGGAGACAAGGTTTATTTTGCTCACTCTTTCCCTTACACTTATACAAATCTATTGGAATTTTTGAATACTTTATTAGAAGATTAAGAACGAAACTAGTAATTTTAAATTTTTAATTTTTAGATACTTATCTCGAAAAGTATTGTGTACAACTCTTGGTGGAAACACTTGTGAAGTCCTAACTATTACTTCTAATTCGTTGTAGAAGAGGGCATTTAGAAAAGGTGTAGTGTTTTTAGCCAGATAACATCCTGGAGAACCTCAAGCATCCTATGTTATGTAAGGCATAATAGATTTTCTGACCTCCAATAACCCATAAGCAGAGTATTTGAGATAGAATTGTATTTTCAAAATCTTCCCTATGATGAATTCTGATGGTGTAGTAAATGGAAATTATAGATGTGGACTAGAAGGTAGTGATTTAAATAGAAGATGGAAGAAACCAAATAAATATTTACATCCTAGTGTTTATTATGCAAAAAAATATGTAAAAGGATTTAGTAAAGAAAGACAAATATTGTTAGTTGTTGATTTGCATGGTCATTCAAGAAAGTAATGAGGATTTATATTTTAGACAATCATCATTTGTATATGGTTGTGCTTACTCTTCTTAAGTTAAGACTATTGAAAGAGTATTTGCACTTTTAATGTCAAAAGTAAATCCTTTCATGGATTATTCATCTTGTACATTCAGAGTAGAGAATGCTAAAGATAAAACAGCCAGGATTCAATTGTGGAGAGAACTAAAAATAAATTGGGTTTATACTTATGAATGCAGTTTCTATGGACAATAAAAAAAACATTATTAAATTAAAGATTATTTGAATTGTGGTGTTAGTATATGTAATGCCTTGTCTCAAATTGTCAAGGATACTTCTAAAGAATTTACTAATTAAGCTAATTAACCAGATATTTAGTAATAAATGTTGGAAGAATTGGGTAAAATGCCTCAGACTGATGATTAAGATATAGGATCAGATTCAAGTCAATCTGAGGCAGAATTATCAGATGATGAATTGGTTTAATTATTTTAACCAAAGACATATTCAATTAAATAGAAAAACCTGTTAAAATAATAGGAAACAAATAATAAAAAAAAATTATAATAGCCAAATAGTAATTTAAAATCAACTATAGCTTCACAAAAAGCATCTATCTTGTAGGAGTCCCCTTCTAAGAATTCAGAATAAAAGCCGCCAATGAGTAGCCAAAAACCAAAGAATCCTCTATATCGAATTCAAGCACCATTAAGAGTACGATAATTAGACTAAGTCAAATAACCAGAGACACCCCTAATGGTTGACAAATCGGTTTAGACTGATGATTGGATGTATCGTTAGTGGCTGATTCAGATGGGAAAGCTAAAGAAATAACAAGAGTTCCAGAGTTTTACACCAACTCGAAATATTTACAAGTCATCATCTCAATCAGTGACTAGATTTATTGTCAAGAATTCCACCATGAAGAATGATCGAGGCCGCGTAGACTCCATTTCCCTTATGGCATCTGGTTTACAAAATAAACTAAGTAATATGTAGTTAACAAATAAGTTTCTTCTAGTCAATAGCGCTAAATGATGAGATACTCTGGTAGTAATTTTATGTCTTGAAATTGTTATTTATTAAATTATAATTCTATTCTGCATTTCCTAACATTCTTTAAAAATATTATTATCACTCAATTTATAATACAATTTTATTAATAACAATTTATAAATGTAAATGTCTGACCGTCTATTAGATTTCTCTATCTCTTAAGATTCTCTTACCTTAATTCATACAAGAAATCGACATTATACACATATAATAGGAAGCATTATACTAAATTTTATAACACTATTAACATTCAGTATAATATAAGGATACATATTAATGAGTCATTAAGATTGGGATGCTATTGCAGTCTTAATTTTTGCATGTTTTTTATCATTCTCATTTAGGCATTACAATTATTTTAGAAGGACTTAGTTTGTTATAAGTATTCCATATGTAGACAGATAAATTAGTAATAACTACATCTTTGTAAGTATTATTTTAAGAATTAATTTAGTATAATAATTAATGAAACTTTAATCTTAGGAATATCAATATATTAGACAACAACAGAAGAATTTGAATAAGATTCAAAATTTGAGATTTTTGTTTAAGTTATTGCAATAATCTTATTTTTTGTAATTGCTATTATAAAATTAATTTTGGTTATCCAATTAAAAAAAGTATTGGATTTAACAAGAGCAACAAATTAAATTAAAGAAGGAATAAGGAGTAAATAGGCTATTGAGAATTTCTCTAAAACCTTGAAGTGAATAGTTTAACATATTTTACTTTAAATTAAACAATTGAGTATACTTTAATTAAGAATTAATTATATATTATTATTCTTATGATAATATATCATTCTAAATGGGCCCATAAATCTTCAAGATATGGTAATTATCTTCCCCACATAAAGGAACAATGACCAGCATCATAGAATTTAAGTTCTTTATTTGGTGCATTTACTAATGCTGAAAATAGATGATTTACATCTTTAGGTGCAGCCAACAAATCATCATAGCCAGCAATGTAAAATATTCTAATTTTTATATATACTTAAATATTACTTGACATCAATATTAGATAAATCATACTAGGGAGCTTTCTTGGTTCCATATCTCTTCAAATTTTCCTTATCACCATAATCATATCTCTTAAATTCTCCAGTTCTAGTGAATTATTACCAATGTTTAAGATTCTTGACACTAGTACCAGCAGGAGAATGTCCAGCTAATACATCATAACGATCATAGTTGTCTAGAACTGGATCTGCTGAAACAAATGATCCTATCAAATCTCCACAAAGATTCTCCATAAGTCCACAAACTACTCTACCTACTTCAGATGTGAGGAATGTATCTCCAGGCATAAATTCATGTAATCCAAAAGTTGCCAAAACTTCTAAGAAATTAGTGTCAAGTAAACGAACTAATGGAGAATACTTTGTTGTAACCCAAGCAACAGGTCCCATTCCAATAAATTATATTAGATTATCTCTAACAATACTTTATTTGAAAAGAGATAAATGAATATGCATTTAAGCTGTACCTTAAGAATGTCCAATATATTGAATTTTTTAACCAGTCTTATTGACAATGTATTTAAATCCTGCAGGAAGATCATAGATAGCAAAATCTTCTAATGTGAAATCCCAGAATGCCCAAAAGAATGGATTCTTTTTAACATGAGCTCTGCCATGTTTATTTCCTCTATTGTTACCTAAGATAATAAATAAATCTAAAATACCAAGCCAAACATCATAGCCTTTATTTGCAATTAAGAAGGCAGGTGCTTTGTCTTCATCATTAATTATGAATGTATCACTACTATCTAAGAGTCCATGTTAGAGAAGAACAACTTTTTTGCCTGAAACAATTTTTGTTCCTTTAGCTTAGATTCTAAAATATGTTAGAAGATAGCCATCCTCTGTTTAGATAACATGTTCTTCAACAGGGTAATTAAAGTATTTGCAATACTTTACAAAGTCTAGATTACCCTCAGGATGTATTGTGCTTAATGCAAGATACGGTAGCAATAATAAAATAATCTTCATTAATAATATTATTCAATTGCGTTCCCTCACTAAGTAATCTTTAATAAGTTCATTCATTTTTAAGAATAGCAAGATAACATCCCAATATATAATCACACTTCCTGATACTTCATCTGCTTAATTTACATCATATTGATCTCCTGAACTAAAAATAAATATGAAATTTATACTTAACATTAGTATAAGTATCATAAATAAGAAGGAATGCCAAAAGGAAAGCAAAGAGTGAAACAGTAGATAACCAGAATAGTGAAACTTCAGTAAAGATTGTGAAGATTTCAAAAATAAGGAGTATGCTAGCTGAAATAAATAGTATTGATCCTTAATAAGTGAGTCTTCTTTTGACTGTCAATGAATACATAAACAAGAAAAACACCATACCTATATATTAATTTAGATTTGGATACTTGCAAGACTGCTGAAAACTAAAAGACCAATAACTGAATCTCCCAAAGCTACTAATGTACCACATACTACAGAAATAGATAATGTGAAGGTGACAAATACAACCCAATTCCATGGAAATCCTGCTACATCTTTTCTGAATATTAATGCCATAGTAGCAGTACCAATAGAAATAAATAGACAAAGCCAAAATAACCATGGTTTACCCTCTAAATAGGAATCTAGAGAAGGTGAAGCATGTACCCAATATATGAATAATGCTAACACTTTAATTCAAATAGTGTACATATAACGATCATTTGTATTAAAAGGTATTAGTATAATTTTCTTGAATATACTACTCTTGAATTGAATTGATTTTCAAAATTACATACTTCTCCAACAACATTTTATTGTATTTGTGATGTCTTTCCAGCATACTCCAATTAACTTTAAAACATAATAAATTATATATATTTATGTAATATATCAATTTTTTTTGTAAACAATGTAACTACTCCTAAATATGAACAAAATCTCTTCATCATTAATGCGTAGTACTTTATTAGGAGTATCACAATTAAAAACTCTTCTCTTTTTATTTATCAAATCGTACAACACAACTTTTTCACCAATTAAAATTACTTAAGGTGTGTCATTTAATAGATCCATAGAAACCATATTAATTACATTAAAGTCAATTTCATAAGTAGATTTGATTTATCCAAATTCTACATCCCATATATTGAGAGTCTAAGATGTTAATGTGATTAAATAATTTGCATTTTATGAAGAACACCAACAAAATTACAATATTTTTTGATCATCTGTTATTTCAAATACATAATCATCATTTTATAAAGTCCATATTTTAATAATATTTAAAGTGCTAGAAAATGATGCTAATAATGTTTTTCTTTTATTGAATTCAATTAAAGTAGTTTCTAATTCTGCTTTTAATTATAATTGTGGTTTATCAATATCAATTTACATTAAATTTATGTAATAATTAAGATCCATTACAATAAAGTGATCAAAATGTCTCCATTCAAAATGAATTACATTTTCTAAATATTTCAAAGTTTAGCATTTATATATATCTACTATCTAAAAATATGTATTAAAAATATATATATACTTCAATATCCTTTTCAAAAATCAGAGCAACTACATTAGGCCAATTTAGATTCCAATGAAAATCCAATAATTTACTTGAATTTTTGATGTTGAACATTTTTATTATTTGAATTGTTGTATCTATTACTTTTGCAGCGCCATTTTCATATACAATTAACATATTATTACCGCTCGATCTATCAAATTTCATTAATTTGACTCTAGAAAAGCTTTCACCTACAACAGTTGGCATAATTTGTATTATTTAATTGTTTTAGATGAATTTTATACAATTGAGTTGATATATTGCTAAAATGTTTTTTTATGCATTCCAATCACTTAATAAGATTTCATCTTATAATTATATTATGTCCTATTATAATTCTATATTTAAATCCATAGTTTATCCATTACGAGATGCAAATTCTTAACTTCTCATCAATGCATTCTGAATCATTATTTCACGATCTCTCCTTTCTTATTTCTCAGCCAATTGTTTTTTCTCAGTAAATTAACAAACATGTTTTTATATTAGTAATTATGGCACTTTGCATTCATAATATTAATTGATCTGAATATGATCTTGTAATTGTTAAAATAACAAAGCTTTCTCTAATAAATTAATCAGTTGACCTGGCTTAACATCATCACGATAAATTAGTTAATCTATTTTCACTTCATTAATCAAAGCAAAAGCACTATGTGAATAACCTTATTCTAAAAAGTAGGTATAAATTAGATAATTAAGTTCTTCTGTCTTAATTACAATCATTAATAAATAAAATAAAATTCATTTTTTCTTTGCTATCTCATGTAATATCTCTCTTCTAGTTACTGGATTCTCTCTATCATAATCAGTATTAAAGTATTCTTCTGCTTCATAATAACTTTAGACTTCATCCTTCTATTCAAGTGGAAATAAAACACTAGAAATGTCTTCCATAGGCAGTAAAATGTATACTACTCCAATTATGATTATAATAAAGTCTTACCATTTAACTTCCCCAAACAATATACTCGAAACTACAGTATTACCAATCCCTGTAAATATTATAATTAATTCTAACATCTCTATCATTTCTATACTGAGATGTTTTGATAATGATTCTTTTATTGTCCTTCTCCTTAAAACATTATATTTATCAACAAAATAATACAATGTTAAACCCATTATACTAAATAATATACCTAAAGGTATAATATCACCATAAAAAAATGTGAACCACATTGTTTTCATTATGTCACCATATCTTTTGGCTTATGAATAATCAGGCATTTCCATTATTTCATTTGCCTCTTATTAAGTCAATACACAATTTTTCACATTTTTCTATTATTTCTATCTTTGATAATCTTTTTAAATACTCCAAGGATCCACAAACCAAACTATAGGAGGAATGAATGCATTAAGTAAAAAAACATTAGATTCATTATAAATGAAACCACCTTTACCAATTACATTTCCTGTTAAATAGAAATCTATCACTAATGATATTAAAGCAGTATTAATAAATAAAGCTACTGATTATTTTCTAGCAAAACTTATATTAAATTTAGTTTTATTAGATATTTTCTCTAAATCAACTATTAAATGATATACTTTTCCAATAACAAACTTATTAAAAAATACAACAGTCCAAGAAATAGATTAACTAGTTAAAAATGCTATAGTCTAAGTCAATGAATCTTTGATACCCTTTTTTTCTTATTCTTCCACTTACTCATTCATTCTCTCTGCCAATTCACTTAAAAACCATATCAAAAAGAAACAACCAGCCATAAAACTTATAGATATTGACCATGCAATAACACGTGCTTTTACTTTTTATCCAGTTTAGATATGTATAAATTCCCAATCAACATCATTAGGTTCTGGTGCTTCTTCTACATATAATTTATGTCCTTCAAAAATTAAACCCTTTTCTTTTACATCTCCTGTCATTCCATTATTAAAAAATGCCTTAACTCTTTCCCATGATGTATGAGGATTATGTTACAATACTAATTATTTCATTTCTTCAGTTAAAAAACTTATAAATGCTATTCCTGCAAATTTTTCTCTATTTATAAATAATTCATGTTCTTTTTAATGAATTTTTTATTCTAATGATTCTAACTTTTCATCTAACTATTTAACTTTGAAATCTGTAAAATTCATTCCATTTTCTAATAAATATTCTTATTTATCTCTTATCATTTCTTTTAATGCTTCCTCTAATTCAATTACTTCATCTAAATTATATACCAATACTATTTTTGTTACAAATAATTCTCTTCCATCAGCAGCATAATTTTAAAATATATTCTTTAATACTTCTCTATAATCTTCATTTAATTTTGGTATATTCTTAACACAAATAGTATAATCTGATGGAGTCAATTATGATTCATCTACTTCTATATCTATACTTCTTTAAGCTTTTCTGAAAAATAAAAATGAAACCATATTAGCAAATACAACAACTAATGATAAATTAGATTATAAATTTCTAATATCCTCTCTATCATATACATTAGCCAAACTCACAAAATGCCACAAAGATCCACCACATATTGAATTATCTTCTTTATGTTTATGATGATGTTGTTATTAATTCAAATGATCATGAATTGAATGATGTTCTTTCTATTATATTTTAATCTTTTCTAAATTATAACAATAATCACCCATTAAATCTGTAGCCAAACAAAACATTCCTTTCAATAACCAAAATTCAACTAAGATGAATATACAGTATTTTATAAACATATAAAACAATGGAAATCCAGATCCTAAGAATTTCATCTCTAATGGATCACAATCATATTCTAAATCAGTTCTTTCTATTGAATATCCACAACAAGGGCATGTTGATTAATTTTCAACTTCCAATTCTCTTGCCACTCTTCTTGCTTTAGCATGATTCTCTGCTAATACCCAATCACAAGGTATAACTAAAGGATTATAATGATGAGATGCATGACTCTTATGATGTACTTTTTGACCACCTTTTTCACTTTTACTTCTTTAATGTTCTGATAAAGCTCTACTTGGCCTTTAAGATTCTTGTTAATGAAATGAATTTTGAATAAAACGACTTGCCATTTCAAAAATTAACTTATTATATAATATAATTTATACTAAAAAACTTTAATAGTAATTATTGTAAATATTGTATTTGTTTCAAATTTCTAATTAAAAAATGAAAAAGACACAAAAATCTATACAAACAATTCTCTTTTATATACAACATTAGTTTATAAATAATTATGGATATCAAATAAATTTAATTTATAATTAATTAAATAAATAAATCTATGAATTATCTTTTATAAAGATTCCTAAATTTAGAAGATTTAAAAATTCTTATAAATTATAATAATTAACTCATTATAAATAATATTATCAATTTTCCATCAGTAATTCATTTTAGTAAATGTTATATACATGATTTAGGTGTTAATCTTTTATATAGTTTCTCTGAATTTATGCTACTTAATTATTACTTTTCAATTTAGTGTAAAATATCCTCTTTTGTTTTTCTAATAGAATTTTCAAAAGTCTATTATCCTTTTGAAGTAGTGGGCATTTCTGAAAGTGGAATGCTCAATTAATGATTACTTTATATCAATCCTTTAACCCATTTATGTTATTTTATTTCCTTTAATGTTATTCTATTTTCATAATCAGGATTAAATAAATCAGTAAGTAAGCTTATTAATTCCCAACTCACCTATTTAGGAATATTATAATTCCCTTCACTTATATTCAATAGTATATCTGTATTATTTTCACCTTTGAATGGATATTCAGCAAATACTAAATAATATAGAATGACTCCCAATGCCCATATATCAACTGAAAAATTTACACTCTTCAACTTCCCAAAGACTATTTCAGGAGATGCATAAAGAACAGTACCAACATTTAATGGTTCATCAAATGGAATACCTGTACCAGACAAATAAGCCAAACCAAAGTCTATAATTTTAATCTATAATAATTTATTTATATTAATACTCTTAAATCGGTAGTGTCACAAAGAAGAATGTTATCTAACTTCAAATCTCTATGAATAACATTATTTTTGTGACAATAAGAGATGCCATCCAAAATTTGATTAAAAAAAATACGAGCAGTTGGTTCATCTAATGCACCATGATCTAAGATTTAACACAAATTCTACCTAATACATAATCTAATAAGGACCCTCCTTTCAAATATTCCAATTCTAATACTGCTTCTGATTTCTCTGGAAACAACTTATATTTATAGAGTTTGACTATATTTCGATGTTTTAATTATTCCAATATCACTGCCTCCCGAGCAATATATAAATATTAATTCTCCTAACCTTCACTTATAAACTTAAGTGCTCTCTCCTCACAAGTAGTTTTATGAGAAATCAACATTACTGTTGCTTAACCACCTTTGCATAGTACTGATAATGGATTATATTCAAACAAGACAAATCGACCATCCAAACTCTTACCATTGGTTGTAATATAGATTTTACTCTCATTCCTAAGATATTTAAGATCTTCTTCAAATAATTCTTAACATCTATGATCAAAAAGTCTAATTTTCTTAAAAGACAGCTTTCTACTAACTAACTTAATTAGACTATCAAGTGAATTAGCTTATGTTAAACTGATTTCCATAGGATTTTGACCATATTGATATAGTGTAACCTTATTAATTAGGGTTGATGAGTTAGATTAGTTGATTGATATACAATTTTTCATTTCGCGTTTAAATTATTAAAATAACAATCAATTTTAATTTAAATACTTATATTATCAAAGAATCAATTTTAAGTTAAAAACATTAAAGTATAATCTATTTATAAAATAAAATTCTCCTTCCTTATTTCTTATAGATAAATAAGAATATTACATATTTTTAAACTAATTTGTATATTTTGTATTTTCCTTAAATATTCCTATTTTTTTTTAAATTTTATAAAATCTTTCTTAATATTTATTATTATTAATCAAATTTCAATTCATTAAATTTAGAATTATTTTATTTATTGAATAATAATCTGTAATATGGATACTAATTAATTTACATTAATCAATATATAATTAAATTACATTTATAAGATATTTACTTCTAAATGATATGCTTAATTCTATTAATTTATAACTTAAATTAATTGAAAACCTATTTGTATGAGTATTTTAAAAATAGATGTGACTTAAATAAAATAAGTAAAATAAATTAATTTAATTACAATTATAAAACAAAACTCAATTGATAATATGATAATATATAAATAATATTTGTTTATAATACAAAATTATCATTCATTTATGAGTTAATACAAAGAGTCTTGTGCTTAGAATTATAATTACTTTCTATTCAAAGAGGCTATTGAAAAGTTTAAATTTATTATTAAAATTATATTTGCTTTTAAAGAGATATTTGATTAATTAAGTATTCAAAGCTATGTCTTATTAATTTAATTCGTTTTTTATTTATGAGATTTGTTCATATCTGCTTAATTCTAGCTATTGCAAATGCAACAAAATTCTTAGATGAAACTACAGTTTTTGGATAGGAAGCAGAAGTTTAAATTACATATGATCAGTCTACATCACTATTTACAGAAGAATAATTAGCTTAAAATACAGAGCTTAGGATGAATAAAGATGAACCCTTTGATTACTAATCAGAATAGATATCACCATTATAAAGTGTTGAGCAATAACAAATTTTATTAGCTTATGAAAAGGATCTCTTACCATAAGGAGACTGTGTAATTTTATATGCTGAATGTCAATTCAAAGGGACATCAAAACAAGTATGTAAAGGAGTAGAAGAAGTGATGAGTTTCTCCCTTCCTGTGTTTTCAATTTATGTTCCTGAATTGTATTCTAAAATATGTATTAATAGATAACAATTTTCAACAATTGATGTTAATAGCAATACCTAAGTTACATTTTTAACTAGTGATAAATGTTTAGATCAACCTATTGTAATGGCTGATTCTCAATTAGATTTTTTCATTGCAAAATCAATGTCAAATTGGATAGGAGAAAGCGCTGGTATTATATTATAAATCTATTAAAGAAGTAACCTAATTGATTTAACAAGAACAGGTAGAAAATTAAAACACTGCAGTTGAACAATAAACAGAATAAGATGATTAATAAGTGTAAGAATAATAAGATGTAAATGTTGAATAACAACCTGATTAAACATAAGCAGAATAGTAAGTGGATTAATCATAAACAGAATAATAAGTGGATTAATCATAAACAGAATAATAAGCTGATTAAACATAAGCAGAATAATAAGTTGATTAAACATAAACAGATTAATCAGTTGATGAAGCATAAACAGAATAATAAGTTGATTAAACATAAACAGAATAACAAGTTGATTAATAATAAGATTCTTCAGTTTAAGAATAATAAACAACAGAGAATGAATAACAATCAGAATAATAAAATGAAGACACTTAATAATCAACAGAATAAAGTAATCAATCTGAAAATTAAGAAACATAAGAAAATACAAATAATGAATAAAATTAGGAAAATTAAACATAATAAACAGAATAATCTTAAGAATAAGTAGAATAATAACCAGAAGTAGTTTCAGAAGATGAGAAATTATAAGAAAAAGAAATGGAAGAAGTTGTTGAAACTGTTACAGAAATTGTATAGTAAGTAGAAGAAAAATAAGAAGTTGAATTAGAGTCTGAAAAGGAATAATTATAATAAGAAGAGGAAGCTTAATAATAATAATAAACTTAATAATAAACTGAATAATCTGTTGATGATATACCATAAAATTAAGAACAAGAATAATAATATTCCTAAACTGAAACAGCAGAACCACTTGTAGGATAATCATAATATACAAAATGATTGTAATCATTATTAAATTTAAAATATATATAATGTAATCTATGAATAATATTTAAAATAAAACTATTCTTAAATACTTTTAATATTAATAATATATCTAATTAATTATATTATCTACTATTGGATAAATAAATACTATTTCTAAACAATAATTTATATGTCTCAAATGCCAAACAATTAGATAAAATTATTGATTTAATTTATTATTATCATAGGGCTAGATAGTTTATTCACCATATTTATATAATCAATCTTAACCTATCTCTCTATATATTTTCATCTTAAATTATTTAATTATAATAATAAGATATTTTTTGTTGTTGGATATTTTCAGTTCCAAAAATATATAAAATAATAACTATCATAAATAAGAATACCATATTCAAAAATTAAATAAGTTATAAAAATTACACATATTTATCATTAATTATTCATTTTATGGATTTTAAATGTATTAAACATTTGAAATTTCATTATAGTTACTAAATGGAATATGACTTAAAAACTAAGTTGCATTATTCTAATCTTGTTATGCTAAATCAAATTATTTATAAGCTTTATTAATAAATTTTAATATGTGAAATGATGAAAAAATTAGATATAAAAATAATATATATTTTATTAAGAATTTAAGGATTATTTATAACTTGTAAATACTATTTAGACTAAATATATAACTCATAAGAAACTATTTTATTGAAAGTCTTCACATCTCTGTAAGATTCCATAAAGTTATAAAAAATATACATTTGATATTTTTTCATGTTAAAGTCAATATTATATTATATATGATTTGATTAATAAAATTAGGATTAAATTAAAATTTAAAATATCTATTTTTCTATAATAAACTTGAAGAAATACAAGTTTAATATCTAATATAATATAGTCTTAAATCTTAATTCAAAAAATTGATGAAATAGTTTAATCCATTTAATTAATTAAATTAATAAAATGAAAAACTACAAAAAAGTTGGTATTTCAAATACTAAGCACTTAAATAATGAGATTGGTTATTATAAAGAATGTGTAAGGTTTCTTCCATCTGAAAGAGTTAATGATTATTGTACATCTGATGCTATAAATTATGATCGATTAAGGGAAGCAGGAATGAAAAGAAATAAAGCACTTCAATTTTGTACTGCTAATCATTGTAGAATTGATTCAACTTAAGTTAAACATGGTCCTCCAGGTTTAAAGATATTTAAAACAAAAATAGATAAATTTAAGTAATTAAATGGATGGTAGATGGTAGGAAGATTAAACTATGTGGAAACTATGCAATAAGAGTATTCTGATGATAGTAAATGGTAAATATAAGTATAAAATAAAGAAGAGTCAAAAAAATTAGAATAATTAAAATAATTTTATAGTGATCTGGATATAAAATATTCATTCAATGATTTAAATTTAGATTAAACAATCACAAAATTAAGATCATTGTCAACTGAATAAAATTATAAGAGTAGAGTACCATAACATTAAATAAAGGATTCAAAAAATAATATTATGTACTATGAAATGGCAGAGTATATATTATAATTAAAAAAACCATAAAATACATTGATATCTGATTTATGTGCATTTGATGATTCTTTACCATTAGCAAGATAAGAATATTATGAAATCTAACCAAAAAGAATAGAGAATGCAGCTCCATTATATTCACCATAAAATTGTGAGAAAAGATCAAAATTATTAAAAGAGTTAACCAGAGCTTATACTGGGAATGTGACTTTAACGGAACCATCAGAAGAATTAAAAAAAGTATGTAATTTATAAATTGTTGGCTATTAGAACTTCTTATTAGATTGATTATAATAATAGTTAATATGTAGAAGGTTATAAATAAAAAAATGGAATCCTTAAAAGTTTAAATGAAAATGAATAATTAAAGTCAAGGAAAATAAAATAAAGATGTAGTATAAAGACTCAAAGAATAAGTAGATAATCTCCTGAAGAAGAAAGAATAAATAAAAATTTATAGTTCAACAATAAATTGTAAGATTTTATACACAAAAGCATAAAGAGATTGAATTATTAAGGAAATAAACAATTCTTTTGAATATATTATAAAATATTGTTAGGATCAACCTTTTTTCTCTAAATTCTCAAATTTACACCAAGATGATCCTGTTTCAATTGATTCTAACTAATTAATATATATATAAAATACTTCATCTGATATTTCTTCTTCTGTATGTCCACTTCTTAAAACTGATGTCCAAAAATTTAACCATTCTTCTTCTGATATTGTACCACTATTATCAGTATCAACAGATTTAAATAACTCTTCAGTATTGAGTTTTGCAAAATTGCTTTTCCTAAAGATGTAATTTAATATAATATTACCAATATTTGATTGTTTCTGTTTTTTCTATAGATTTAGAACCATCTACATCAAATTTAGCAAATAATTTAAGGACTCTCTCTTTCATTTATGGAGATAACTAAATTACAAATTCATTTATACTTCTTTTCCTTAAGTGTTACCCATTATTAATGTTTGATATTTTTTTTATTATTTATAATATGTTTTGGTCCTGATCAAATTTGAGAATTCATTTTGATTGACTAAATATTTGAACAATAATATACATAATAATATATAATAGTCAAAGTTTAGATCTTAAGTATGTTTTGAGTTAATCTATTTATATTGGTTTTACTAAATAACCATCCATTCCATTTTGTAATGCCAATTATTCTTCTTCTTTTTATGAATAAGCTGAACAACCTATGATTTTTATTTTTGGAAACTATTTCTTTATAAGAATAGTAGTTTAGATTCCATTCATAGTTGGCATATCCACATCCATAAAAATTAGATCATACCCATTGCATTTCTTACATCTATTCATTTTAACCATCTATATAGCACTATATCCATCTAAAGAACAATCAAATTATATAGAAGGACTTATTTTCATTATTAGAAATTTTAGCACTTCTATATTAAATGCATTATCATCTACAATTAAAATGCTGATACATTTACATTTACTATTACGTTGAGTTTTTATATTATTATATCTCCATAAACTTTATCTCCTTTCAGGACTTTCTTCATCAATTTCATCTAATTCCTCTTTTATTTCAGTTTCATAAATATTCTTCGAAATATAAAACCAAAATGAAGATCCATTAAGATATTCTGATTAAAATTATAATCCTTTATCATTTTTACTTAAATTTCTTGCAATCATATTACTAATAAGTAATCCCAAACCAACTCCTTAAGGATTGAGTTTCTTACTATCTTTATCATCTACTTTTGAAAAAGCTTAAATCAAATGTTCTTTGTATTCTTCTTTTATTCCTTATCCTGTATCATGAATTTCTACTTTAATTGAATTATTTAAGTAATTAGATACTCTTATTTCAATCTAACCTTTTAATGTAAATTTAAATGCATTCCCTAATAAATTAATTATAATTTATCTAATTCTATTTGGATCATTATTTAATAATCTTGGAGCACTTTTTCTATAGATTAATGATAATTTGATCTTTTTTAAACTTGCTTCTAATTTGAATAATTCTAAACATTCTTCAATTAATTTTTATAAATCCATTTCTATTGGACATATTGAAAATTTGCCAACTTTCAATTAAGCAAAATCTAACAAATCATTTGATAAATTCAATAAATATTTGCAATTAGATAAAGCAATTTTTATGTATTTGCTTTATAAATTTAAATCTTTTTCTTCTTGTAAAGCAGAAATGAATTATATGATTGAATTTAAAGGTGTTCTATATTCATGACTAACAAATGATATTATATTTGATTTTGCTTAATTTGATTTCTTAACCAAACTGATGTAATCTCTATGAGTTACATCTCTTATTTATAAAAGAATCATCAATTTCTCATCAACTAAAGTAGCATGAGAATTTATTTCAAGCAATCTTTTCTTTTATGGTTATTCTAGATCTACACAACAAGTATTTTCATACCAATTGGCTAAATAACTCCCAATATAAATAGTATTATGAGGACTACTTTTAAGAATCTGGAAGAATCTCTTATTTGGTTAGATACTACTTAAATCACTTAGTATTTGCTATAGTAAAATAATCAAATACATTAAAATCAAGATCTTCTTTTATTTATTTTGGATTGTTTATTTTATATTGTTAGAAAGATTATTAGAAACTATGAAAAGAAGGAAGAGAATCTCTAGGATCTCTAGTTTCTGATTTATTTTATGTTGATACAATATCAGTAAGTTATTCTAAACAACTCTTAAAATTTGACATATCATTTATTCTAAATAATTCTAAAGTTGCAGCATTGCAAAAATAAACATTTAATTATTATGCTGTTAGTAATACTAAAGAATCTGGTATTAAATTGAAAAAGTGGAAACATTCTTGTAATTCTTATTATAATGAATTAGTTGAAGAATGAAATTATTATTTTTTATGTTCTGGTGTTGGAACTATATTTAAAATTGATTTTTCAGAAGACTTTTTTGATAAGTAAGATTATTATTAAGCATCCACTTCATCCTATTTTTAATATGCCCATTCAGTATAGAGATTTAATATCAATAAAACGAATCCAGCTCCAAAAATATATAAATCAATAGAGCTCCAATGACTTATTCTTAATAAGACATAAAAGTTGAATAAGATTGTAATTTTATTCCATTTACAATATTAAGTTCTTACTTGTCCAATTTGAATGCATATGAAATATAAGAAAAAAACACTTATTTTATTTAGTGAAACACTACATTCAATAAAAAATACACTCTAACATAATGTGTAAATTATTTTCATTTCTAATTATCTCTTTGAATTCCAATATTTAGAAATAAATGCAAAAAATTACAAAATACTCATTAAACATAGTAGGATTATCATTAGCAGCAATTCAAAATCAAGTAAAGGTATGAGGACTATAGGAAGTAATCCTTCAAGGAACACTTTTATTTTCATTATAAATATATATATTAATATATTTAAATCAGCTGCTTAAATTAAAATAAGAA